TATTAAAGAGACCATGAATATGAGTTTGTAGGAGCTGGGCAGAGCAGTTGAGGACAGGGGGGCCTGGAGATGTCTCATGGTCAACATGGGTTGAGATCGACGCAAAAGCAGTTAACAAAAATGTTATTGTTTAGTGTGACATCTGAGGCAGAGTCCTCCCCAACTTCTGTTACCTGATCTTGCTATTGAGGGATGCTGGGGATCAAACCATGGACCTCCTCCATAGAACCATGGACTTCCTTCTTCTCTGTTCTATTGCTGAGCTTGGCTCCTCCCCAGCCTCTTCCAAATAATGCTGCTGCCTGGAAGATAAGCCTCCAATTTGCCACAAGCAACTCTTTTGAAGCATGAAACAGCATGAATGATAGTGACACCCACTTCAGCAATGCCAGTTTTTGCAGTCTGGGGTCTCAGTAGATACATGTTTCTGGGATTCCCTTGAACAGAGCTGCTAGATTGAGTGACAACAACAAACACCCTCCATGTTCACCTGGAAAGAAACATTGGTGGCCCCACCTAATCTTGCATCCCCGTCATGTCAGAAGATGCACAGATATTACTGGAGACAGACTCTGCCCACAAGGCCTTGACAGCAGTGCTGAAAACAAGACTGGCAATGCTTGGTTTATGAGCAGAAGAATCATCTCCTCTTGCTCTCCTTGCCTGTCATCCTAACTATTCATGCTCCCTGCTCCTGATGACAACTTACTCTTTCCTCCATAAGAAAGATAATGCTTGACAACCTATGTAAATAAATACACAATTAATCTGATTGTTTTATCAGCCTGATTAAATGTGGTTTCCTTTGTTGGATTATCTTTCAAAAAATCATGTGCTGCAGTTCTAAACCAGCTGCTACCATTCATGGGGCAGTAGGGGGACACACACAATCTTGATCCTCACATTCAGTTTCAAATCTTATCTGTAGAACGCTCTCTGCTTTGGGTGAATTATGGTGGTTTAAATTGGGCTTATGCTCTCACAACCTTTTTCAAACTTGTAGGGGTTGGGATTCTCTGCCAGCTGTGAAAGTCAGCTGCTTCCTGATGGACAAAAGATTGGGGGACTTTCATTGTCCCTAGGTATCCCCTAAACTAGAGGCTATGTAGGGATTTGAATTAGAAATGGTCATGAATATCAGCTCGAGATTATGCATTCCTATGTGCTCAACAGGTTTCTAATCGATAATCATGATTTGTGGGAGCTAGGCACAAGGGAAAAACCTGTTCACCTTGCATTTCAGTTCATCCAGTTTACATTTTAACACACATTTGCTTGAATTTGTGCTCTTAAAAAAAAAAGAGAGAGAAAAAAACCAAAGCTTCACAAGTCTTTTGAAAATCAGATTTGGTGCTTAAGCTCTGTGATTGAAAGAATGTGCATATTAGAGGAAAGTGCATGCAAAAATATGTGTGGTAGCAGAAATATTAAAATGCATTGGGAAGATTACTTGCAAAAATGTGTTTTTCAGTAAAGATGCATATAAAATGCATTAGGAAAAAAGTGCACAAAAATGCTGTCTTATACAACCCTCCTCCCTTAAAAACAAAAAAACAAAACCCAATTCTTGAATTGAATTGTACTAAAGACTGAGGGGGAAAACTGAGTCACTGGGAGAAATAGAACTTGGCAGGTTCATCCATCTCTATCAGGAAGACACTGATTTTTGGCTGGATCACAATTATGTTTTGTAACATTATGAATCTGTAGTTACGTTGCAGAAATGCAATGAAGCCCTGTTAGTGCATTGTGAAGATGTGCATCTGG